TTTTTCCGTTATTTCCCGATCATGACAAGGAGCACACGGCGGGTGTGACCGGTCGGCAGGGGATGCTCACTCCTCCATGGCACCTGATCCCATCTCTGATGTTTGGAGGTCCGTGTTTGCTCTGCTCCTATTTTGTATTGTATAATGGATTTTTGAGCTTGAATACTGTTCGTTATCTCCATATATTTCATTCAAACGAATATAAATTAATTATTCAGAATACAAAACAATAATACATGAAAAGATAAATAAGAGCTTGTATAACATCTTTTTCTCCACGTATTCACTTACATAAAACAAATGTGTTATTGTGTCGATTTAAACCAAAAACAAATATTTCCGTGTTTTTAATTCAGTGATAATAGTTGCTAAATCGAAAAATCCGCGTATTTTTTCCCTTCGTTATCGCTGCAGGTACTATAGGCAAGGCTCCTCTCAGAAACTTTTAAACATATGTACAAACACCACCAAGGAATACTGTAAAATATCAAATAGCCATAATGTAAAGAACAAAGAAAAGCTGATCTAAGCAATCTCTATAATGATATACGGAGGCAAAGAACAGTAATCTAGCTCAAAAGTCCATTGAAACAATAATAATCGGGAGCAGAGCAAACACAGACCTTTAAAAGCATCAGAGGTGGGATCAGGTGCTATTGATGAGAAAGCATCTTCTGTCGACCGGTCACATCCGCCGTGTGATCCTTTCCATGATTAGGCAAACTGAAAAATCCATTGACAATTCACTGTATAAATAATGGCCTAACTATTAGTTTGAAAAAATGTCAGCCAGCATTTAACTTAATGATAAATTGTATTTGCTGACAAGGTCATTGTATCAACCATTAAACTTGAGAAAATGTTGACTTCAAACGAGAATGTGATATCCTTGTTTCATCAACATGTTTGTCAATTGCTTGCTTCGTTTTAGAAATTGTTCGAACGTTTGACAACATTTTGTAGATCGAATGGTCGATACAATGACCTTGTCTGCAAATACAATCTATCATTAACTCGAATTTTGACTGACATTTTTCATTCAAACATTTTTACATTTTTATATTGTCTACGATTTTTTTTTCTGTTTGCCCCATCATGACAGGGAGCACGGTGTTCCCGGTCGACAAGGGACGCTTACTCCTCCATTGCGCCTGATCCCACTTGCGATACTTTTAGAGCACTGCTCCAATTTTGTATTGTTTCAATGGACTTTTGATTACTGCTGTTATCTTCATATTTCATTCATTTGCAATAGCATTTTAAAGTGATATGGACGATGATTTGACATGTTTGTTATGATGTGATTTTTTACTATGGAATTCTATACGATTATGGACTCTTTCGGTGGAGAATATGGTTTGTTATTCACCAAAAAATATCAATATTGACCGAGGCGAAGCCTGTTTGTATAGATTATAAATTGGCTATTTATAGACTACTGCACGTGTACATGAATTGGCGTATTCAAAATTTAGCGCAATCACTAGGTATGGAGTTGGAGAAATCATGAATTAGCGCTATACATGTCCTTGCCATAAATTGCATTTATAAATAATTTCTTAGCGGTATTCATGAATTAGCGCATCGTTGTCTGCGCAAAAGCCGCTAAAATATGAAGCCCACTTTTTTTAAGTACACATACAGTATATAATCTGTATGCAAATTAATATGAAAATTCTCGTTTTTTTATTTCGACTTTTGATATTGATGTGTTCTTCAGGAGTGACTCTGATGGCCAAACATACAATGATCAAACAAATGACACATTTGTTTGATCATTGTATGTTTTGCCATCAGAGTCACTCCTGAAGCCTTCGTTTTAAACTATAATAAGTGCATACATTGTCAATATTTTCCTATCCTCTATGATCATGAAACTAAAATATGAGCACTTTTTCTAAATTGATTTAATTTCTAAATATAAATACAGAGTTTCAAAGCACAATACCAAGAGATTATAATTTTTATTAATAATTTTGTTCACAAAATGTAAATGGAACAGGACAGGAGACATAACCTCTCCCTATAACAAGGTCAAGGTGAATACACAGTATAATATAAATCCAATTAACAAACATTGTAGAAAAAGAAACACGAAAAGGGAAGAGTAAAATACAGTGATGTACCGGTTTGGAAATATTGACAAGTTAAATATATGGCAATGTCTGAATAAAACGCTTTGTTGCTGGCATATATGCATGTACTACTTAAAATATTTGGATATTATTGAGTCCATGATCTGGACTAAGATATAATAATAGCTCAAATTCAGATATATTATTCCCATCAATAATATTTTGAATTGTTTGAAAAAGTACATCTCTAGAAGGTGAACATTTTGGAGAAGCAAAAACGTAATGTTAAGCATCTGTACAACAATATTAGTACAGCGTTCATACATTGGCATTTCTGATAAACATTGGTTACAAGGATAAAAAGAGGTCACACTCCTCTGTCCCGGAAAAGAGGTCATACTCCTCTGTCCCGGAAAAGAGGTCACACTCCTGTTCCAGAAACGGATTTCCTGAGCGTCAGGCAGGACAAAGATTAATTTTTCAATAGTGCGAAACTGAAGGTTAACAGCTAGCAAGCTAAATTTTGTGCAAGCTGATTTACATCGGAATTTGTGTACTGCGTTTTAACAACACCTAGCAGAAGAAATAATTATATTATTGATGCAAAATATTAATATGTTTACTTCCTTAGTTATTTGCATGCAACTGATTATTCCATGCGATTCTCTATACGGACCTGTCCGTGTGACCTTTTCTTTTGTGTTTCTATACTACTGGATCAGTCCATTTGTCTTCTTAATCAGGCGACATACCTAAATTTTTTGGAACAATTGTGCATTTTGTGATAAAAGCGTAGAATTTTGTATGTAAGTAGAGTAGTATATTACAAACATATCTGGATATTTGGCCACTTCATTCGATACCTCATATGACCTTGGCTGTCGATTTCTAAAATGGCTGACCAACGCAAGCATTTTCAAGCATACTTCTCTTTAACGTTTAAATAAAAAACACTCTGCAATATTTATAAATGTAAATACATTTGTATGTGTTTTATAATTCAGAAAAATTGGTAACGCTGATGTTTTATCAACTCGCTGAGGTTAAGTATACGCCGGCTGTTGCTATTTATAGTATAATCTTTCTAAATTGAAAATACTAAAAATCTATGAGAAAAGTTAAAGCTTATTTTTTAAAAGAGACAATCAAGACTTATCTGCGATAAAACATGCCATTTTAGAGACAAGATGCCAACCCTTAAAAATTGACTACATTATTGTTTGATTAACTCGCAGCGTTCAACCTGTAACTGTTGTTACTATTTATAGTATAATTTGAACTTTTATTTGATCATATACGGCCATATTGATCGATTAAAAATTAACATAATAGAACATTTATTGCAAAATAAATTGTGTTAAACATGTAACGCTTAACAAATCTGGAGTTACTAGTGTATTGAAAACTGGCATATACTAAAATTGTTAACCTTACGCATAAGACAAATACATTCATAAAGTTTGATTATGTCTACTAAGGGTTTTGAACTTGTTGACTGTGGATCATTATAGCCACTTCTACATCAAAAGAAAGTCTTCCTCGAACAAGTTGGAAATTGTGTTTGATTTGCCAAAAACAAAAAGCTGGGGTGCTATCAAGTCCAATACTACCGAAGAGAAAGAACTCCAGAGGCGGCTACATTTCATTGGCCAAAAACTTGTTGGAATTCCAGAACCTTGGGCAATTACCCTTTCATTTAGAAAGACTCGATGAAGGGCATGGCATTGAAGAATCTATGGTTAAAACAGTGCTGTTTACCATCAATCATGTAAACTCAGGTACAATAGTACAAAGTTAGGGCGAAAAAAGAGATCACTACAAACAGACAATGAGAGTGAAAATTTGAGCAATATTTGCAAGCGTACAAGGTCTCAAAGTTTCGCAAGCAGTATCGAACACGCAAAGTGCTTCTTCTGTGAAAAAAACTGATGACGCAGGTGATCTTCATGAAGTAACCACACTACAGATGGGCAAGCGGGTTCGAGACAGTGCTGTTTATCTTGAAGACACAGAGCTATTAGCCTCTCCGCACAGCACACTTAAGAATTCTGATTCTGTGGTATTTTATGCAATTAGAACATTCTATCCCTAGATCTAAAAGTAAAAGAATTTGAAAACTACAATATTTAATAAATTTCTTAATATTTCAATAGATCAAGATAAATTAATTGAATACGTTATGATTCTTTACCTGGATGTATTTTTCTCAAATGTTATAAAGTGAACAATGGAAGTTTCTGTTTGTCATTATTATCTTTTATTAACCATTTTTTCCTGGGGGTAGTGCAACGTACCCTTGTTGAAAATGCATTTTGTATGCTCAAAATTTACACCTTAATACAATTTAATTTTGTCAATGTCTAAAAAATAACCTGCTTAAGTGTATAAAGGGTCCTTAAAACTAGAAATGGGGTACAAACTTGAGTTAAAAATTCAGATATTTTTTTCATATAAATTTGAAGGAAAAAATCTTCCTGTGTTTGTACGTTAGTACAAAATAAACTTTCAAGATTTTAGTCATGTATAAAATAAAGATATTCATTCCCAATCCAATGCTTATCCTAGTCTGTTCTCAGTTTATGGTTCTAGGCATGGACTTTGATACATATTTCAGAAATCTTTAATGGTTCTAGGGTATCATAAGAAGAAATTACATTGTAAAAGACCGTTGAATGATCAAAACAGTCAGTGTTCTTCACTAGTGACACACAAACTTAAGGGGTTAAGGAAAATGTTCACATATTGTTGAACAAATGAATTGCATTCAACAGTTCAGATTGCTAGGTTTGAAGAACAAACATAAGTGTTCCTCAGCATTGCATATTCCAAGAGGAATCAAAAATCAATTCTGTATTGATATCATAGATGTTAATCCAAAGATACCCATAAAAGATTTTCAAAAGAAATAAAAACAAGGTACGGATATACAGAAAAGTTTAATGATATTGAACATTTCATATAAAAGTAATAATAAAATTGTTTATGTTAAATTGAAAAAGTATTATTTTTCTTCTATCAAATTTCCCTTGGCAGTGATATACATTTATAGGGTTAGATGTTTGAATATTTAATTCGTATCAGTCGTTTCTCATTCTATCATCACACCACTGTATAAATCATTTACTTATATCAGTATGAGATATATTTTTGGGAATTTCATCTATGACAGTGCTTCACATTTCATAATGTTATCTGTGTTATTTATCGCCTTTATGAACTATACACTTAATTATGCAATTCAGCACATTGTGGATACCATAAGATTACATAAACAAACATGTATTATGCTATTGGAGTTCATTAGATAAGTGAAAAGTCTGCTTCTCCTGAAATCAGTGAAGTGAATGAAAGTCAATCACTCATCTTTAAACCTAACATAACATGCATAAGGTCAACACATGCACACAGTCAATCACTGACACACCAAACTTTGATGCTACACCCTTTAATCCAAAATTGTGTCTCAGCCTCATCAGTGTTGATATACAATTATGGACTATTTACGCAAAAAATACCAATAGTGACTGAGACAATTCATTTGTCATTTATATTGCCCCTTTTTTTCTACAAACAGTGGAATTGTTTTGATGTCAAAAAATCTAATAAATTTTCAATAATGTTTCACGTTGGTAAAAATAATACACACATCACTGACGTGTGTTTTTTCGTACTGTTTTCTTCATGACAAGTGGGCCTTGTTTTTCTCCTGCTGTTATGTGGAGTTGTAGACAATTACTTGTCTGTTCTGTAGGTTTTCTCTGTTTTTGTTGTAGTTCTACAACATGATAAAATTAATCCAAGGATTCCTTAAAAATGAAAAATAAAACTCTAAAGATCTATGAGTATAACACAAATAAATTAAAGTAAAATATAACAATATCTAAAATATGCTTTCTGATTAAATTAGAGAGAGATTTTAGAAGTATTGATTTACTTCAAATATGACTTCAAGTATTGATTTACTTGGTATTTAACTGCATAAAAACATGGATGTCAAGAATAAGTGGCTTAAGAAATTTTGATGCTTTGTGGAAACAGTTACTTTTGTTTTGCAGTTCCCATTCTCCATAATCATTTGTAAATTACATAACTTACTGGAAAACTAGGGTGTGGTGACTGGTGATGTTCCTTTTGTATATATATACATGAAGCCTGTTGACAATTCATTCGGACATTCTGTTATGACACACTGGTGAAGATTCTTCCTGTTTCCTCGTGTGCTCCATCATTGATCCTGAATACATGCAATATTTTATTAAAATATATATAATGCATTTGACTTGGAATTTTTAAATGCTTTTAAAATCTTGATCTCATAAACAAATTTGCAGTTAACTATCCTCAGTGCTTTTACCAAGACTAAATACTTATCGATAAGGTATAGTACAGAAATGACTATTCATCTGTGATTTTACTATGTCAAGTTTTCATGGTATAATGATATCTTCACTTGAATAAACATACTGGCTTTGTAACTAAGTTTCTTCATAACAGATACTTTTCTTAACATATCAGTAAGCTTACAACTCGTCTCCATAATCCCAAAGAAGTCTGCCTTCCTTGATGACTGTGACCCATCTGAGGGAACTGAATTTTGCTGTATACAGTCAGTATTTCATGATCCATAAATGCTACAATTAATTTAGATTCATAAAGCTATATACAATCACAAAATGTTTCAAAGATGAAGCATTGTAATATGACCCACAAAATATTTTTGCAGCATTCTCATTTAATATCGAGAATAATATTCACCGAGATTAGCTTTGAACGGTCAAGTCATAGTTTGAGCACTTCAGTGCAAAGTTTGTAAGTCACTATTGTACGTGATTGAACATAATCCAAACACTGCTCTTTTAATTGCCAATTATATTATCATTAACTTTGACATTAATATACCCGATTAACTTATTTTTTAACAGACAGTTTTGTTTCGGTCTTCCACCTGACATGCCTTTAACAGCTGTTTATGCAACGTAAACACTTGCTGTTCCGTGTTTTGGACTTAGGAAAGGAATAAATCTCACCTTGGGTATTCTTTCCGGGTGCCTCTTATCATAATTACATATATCCCATGCATAGGACCTCACAATTTTTCGCTATACAGCGGATATGTTGCATTTAACGATGTCATCTCGCACCTCCTACATCTGTGTGTTTGTCGGAGGTAATGGCGGACAATTTTTCCGCGATTCTGATTGGCTGTACGGAGATGGCAACTGCGTCACCCGTGACGACGTGGAAGCGTGAATAGGTTGTCTATGCCGCATTACTGTCTAGGAAAGGGATGACACAATTATTTTGCGTCAAATGTCACGAGTAAATTTTTGTGCCCTTTTCCCATTCACAGAGGCCAGTAGTATACTTTGCTTGATTTTACGTGATCACTATATATCTTCAAAACGAAAAAGGGAACCAACGTCAGCCCGAATTTACACGAGGTCAAACTGAAAAAACACCCCGTATTTTCAAAAAATTCCTTGCAGCCAGTGGAATAACATCTGGAATCATTCAGCAATAATTATTGTAGTATGATTCCACTTGTTATTTTATTAGCTGCAAGGAATTTTCTATAAGAAACGGAGGATTTTTTTTAGATCGACCCCATGCAAATTCAGGCTGACGTTGGTTCCCTTTTCCTTTTTGTATATTTAGTGATTACCAAAATCAAACATAATATGTTAACTGTCCTTGTGTGTTGAATGGGTGTGTTCTTTGTTCTTTTAACCTGATTTTATCTCATTAAAAATCTTATATGGGAAGGTAACACTAAAGCAATGAATTTGCAGTTTTCTTTATTATTCTATTCCGAAGTTTATCCCATAAGTGGACTAGTCCAATTACTTTTAACTATATCATAAACAAAACGCTATTTAACAAGCGATGTTTGCAAAGAAGATAAATGAATGTCACATCAGTTTCTTATTAAAGAATCGAAATAATTAAAATGGAAGGGACAAAAGCTTCTTAACGGGAAGAACTGGCCTAATATACATAAAAATGCTGTTACCTTCTAACCCATTCATGCAGGAGTGAGACATGTGTACACACACTCTGCCTGAATATCATAATAAAACCCTTGGTTTGAAAGGCAGTTTCAATTAATAACAATGTCATACAAGTAATTTCCATATACATTTCTCAAAAGATAAAGCCTCATTTTGATTTGAAGGTTTTCATTCCAAGACAATAAATAAAAATTTGTCTCCAGACAGAAGGAATTTTTTCAATATAGACGTCCACTTCAACAAAAGAAATAGGGTGCACTTTATTGTGATAATCTTTTGATAATCTTTTGTCAACATTTGGCTAACTTCTCTGGTGTATTGCCGTGCATCAAATAGACTGTTATTACCTTTTCATGTAGTTTACCATGCAGGTCCATATTCATGTCTTTACGACTTCAATTAGGCTTTTGAAAACATAGTTATTCGTCTTCAAAATCTTGAGAGTAAAATTATTTGTAAAGCAATCATGCTACAATTTAGACTTCATGAAGATAATTTATCTCTTTAATCAAGTTATTACAATTGGTATTATAAGTAGTTAACCTATTTCAGCTGCCTTTCGGTATTTCTGATCATTCAGAATGTTTTCCTTAAATACTTCATTTTTGTATAAAAACCATTCAAAGAATCTTCAATATCATGTCATATTAACTTCTTTTAAATGTTATATACATGCATGTACTGTACATTCAACTTATTGTCATGTTCTTAAAGATACAAGCAATGAAATTTTGTTCACTTTTTCATTCTTTTTATGAATCGTAAACAAGTTAAACTTTAAACAAGAGGTGCATGGGCCTTATCGCTCACCTGAGCACATCTATAAAATAGAAAAAAAAAGCAGCAATCAGTTCAGTATTGAAAAGTTTGAATATATAAGTGGTCCAAAATTACCACTCCCTCCCTTTCCCCAGGGGAAGAGGGAACATTATTTGAATATTCTTGTATCTACACTGAGGATGCTTCCATATTTCTTTGACTAGTGGCTTTAGATTTTTCAAGATTTTTTCCTATAGGTGTAATCTTCTGTTGTGACCCCGCGCCCCTTCCACATAATTTTTGAATCTACAATACCTATGGATGCTTCTGAATTTATTTGGCAAATCATATTGCTGTTCTTGAGAAGATGATTTTAAAAGATTTTTCTTATGTTTTTCTATGTAAAACCTTGATTGACCATTATGGCTCCTCCCTGTTGTAAAACTTTGATCTTTAAACTTGAATATACACTACCTGAGGATGCTTCCACATAAATACAAAAAATACTGGCTTTGCTGTTCTTGAGAAGAAGATTTTTAAATGTTTTTCCTATGTATTCCAATGAAAAAATTTGATCGCCTATTGTGGCCCAACCCTGCCCAAGGGGGTCAGGATTTGAACAAATTTGAATTAACACTACCGTTTGTTTAAAGATGCAATTGCTTTTTCACTTAATCGGAATTATCACCGCTTGGAAGAAAGCGTGGCCCTTCATTTGAACAAACTTATTTCCCCTCTACCCAGGGATACTTTGTGGCAATTTGCTTGAAATTGGCCTAGTGGTTGTTGAGAAGAAGTCGAAAATATGAAAAGTTTACAGACAGACAGACGGACGCCGGACAAAATGTGATCAGAAAAGCTCATTTGAGCCTTCGGCTCAGGTGAGCTAAAGAGCATTACGTTATGTATAGTCTCCAAATGCACGATAATAATTATTTTTTCAACACCTACCCCCCCCCCTCCAAAAAAATTGGACTGGAACGTTTATTATTTACTCTTATACTTTCTATCAGATATTGATTGCTTTAGTCAGGCATGCTTCTTGAAAAGCTACTACTTGTTGAAACATAAATTCCTAATAGTAAACTCAATTAAAAATTTGAAGGTTTCCAATCCGGAGCTTCGTACCATCTTTTCAATTTATCTCAACTCGTTGTACATAAACCAAAGAAAAGCAATTACATAAAAAAAATGAACAAAATATGTATTTACTAAAGATATCGAAATTATTAACAAGAGGCCCCAGGGCCTTAACGGTCACCTGAATATAATAAAACCTGTAAAGGATCCATAGAAGTATGAAACAAAATTTACTGATAAATGAAGCTATGTTGCCCAAGAATTTAAAAATCTGATAAAAATACCCTTGCTTATTGTAATGTGCGAGATATATAAATAATGTGCACAAAAGAAATCTTAATCTTTCATAAAGAAATCATGCTATTACATTTTTTTTTATATCAAAGTAAAACAGAGGGAGATCTGGTTTTCTTGATCCTAATAAGTTCGTCAATTTTAATTTGATATTTTCAATTAGTGATATTGTCATCAGGAATCTTTAAAAATTGATTAATTTTCAAATTCAATAAATATAAGAAAAAAACTGGTTTGTGGCAAATTAATAACAACTGAGAATAAAATTTCTCTATCAAATTGCTAGAAATTTAACCCAAAAAACTTATTAAATGTTAATGTGAAAGCTAATGGAACGTTAAAATTACAGTATTTTGTAATGCCTTTTATTAGTTTATTAGTCCTGCTCGCTATTAGCGTTCATATGTTCCCCTGATAGTAATATCAGCGTAATAAATAAGAATGCTTCCGTTATTGTGAAATTAGTTTCCAAGGTAGCGCGGGCATCAAAGACTCACTGATATCTACTTAAATAGAATATTAATCTTGCCCAAAACAATGTAATGCCTATTCTGCAACTGATTTATTTCGAAGATATCAATATCCCAGCAACACAAATTAAGAGAGAAACATACATCTAGGCTCGTCAAAAATGTATAAGGTTTTCTCGTGAAAACATATTCAAAAGATCGATTTTTTCTTCAATACTTTGACAAATGAACAAAATATTCAATTTAAATTTTTTTTAAATTTCCCAAAATATGGCAACTGATTTGAATCATCCAATTTCTTCTTCGTATTCAATGCAACATCATTTACATTTCTTATTGTTTTCTCTGTAATAATTCTTTAAAGGTTACGTGAAAGTTATGTGTGTTGATTTCTCAATAATTACAACTGAATGTAAATTTCGACAAGTGAATGGTCAAGTGCCTTTGAAATTATCTCCATATTTACATTCATGCTTATAATTCTCTACATCACAATGATTTGATTTCATTGTTGAGACATTATCATTAAAAAAAAATGTATTTTCAATAAAGTTGCTCATTTTCAAATTGATCTCTACCGTATTAAGATACAACATTTATATTGTATTTAACGAGGCCGAGTCTAATTATTTCTACCCTAGATATTTTGATAAATTTTCTTGAATGAATTTTTACTATCATAATAATTATTTTAAGATAAATCAAATGAAATGTTAACCATCCCGATTTCTTAGAGGGCCATCTCAAAAGTTGTCAAATTTTGCTATTGGACCCTATGAGAATTTGTTGGAAATGCGACAAATTATCACATTTTCCCCATATTTTTTGTATTTCTGCCCTAGGGATTTCCTTTTCAGTTAAATACATGAAAGTTATTGTAGAAAGTCAACAAATCGTGAAATTTCAAAAAAGTTGACCATCTGGTTTGGTCTAGGAATTATTGCAAAGTTTATTTTTTTCCAATGCCCAATACCTCTAAATTTGCCATATTGCGACATACATTTTGGATATATCGGTGCAGATAAATTATTTTGGTAAAAAAATAACAATGTTTAGATTGCTGGTATGTTTCTTTTGATGTTCTGACAACAGTTTTTAATAAAATGTGTCCATGGACGTCTTGAAAACTCAAACGAGTCATGCGTCATTCTTCAGCGTTATGCATTGCTTAGAGAATCGGAAAACAATGACGTCGTGAAAGCCATTTCAGCGTTTATTCCTAATTATTGTCTTAAAATCACATTTTAAGACCCATAAACGTTATAGATAATGTAACATAATGTTAATTTGGTATCAAAATTACAATACTTAGGATAAGTGTTATGTTGCACCTACGAATGCATGAAACTATAAAAAGCTGCGCAAAGTCATGCGCACTCGACTTAGACTCGGCCTCATTAAACACTTAAGCACAAATGCATTTTGCTGTGAGTTAAAATGTTTTTTAATGAAATTGATTTTTCATATACCAGAAATTCACATAAAATTTGCCTACATGTTTGAATCCAAATGAC